AGCCCAACACTCCTCAGACACCCCAGCAGCCGCTCTCCAACCAGCCGCAGACCCCCAACTCAGCAGGCGTCATGTCCCCGACGTTTCCCAATGCACCTCGCAATGGCCAGCCTCAAACACCAGTGTCCCAGGGCAAGCCCGGGCCCCAGGCCTCCCCTCTACACCAGCAGCAGTCCCCTCTTCCCCAGCCGCCCCAGCCACCTCAGCAGCTACAGCAGCAGCCTCCCCTTGCTGCAGTCAAGATGGCACGGCACATCGAGATGATGGCACAGGCCCAGCAGAACCAGCAGAATTACCGGGTCAACATGAACGGCTTACCCATGAACCCCCAGCAGCCACAGCAGCGCATGACCGGACCAATGCAGCCACCTATGCAGATGGTGCCAGGGCCACGGGGACCACAGGTCATGCAACCAGGCATGGCCCCAGGGCAGTGGCCTGGAGCTGCAGGGCAGATGCAGGCAGCTCAGACTCAACAACCGGGCCTTGTCCCAGGCCAGACCCCACAGCAGGCCATGACCATGCAGCGAGCCATGATGGCCCCAGGGCAGCAACCTCAGCAGGGCCAAAGGATGCTGATTCCACAGCAGCCTGGTGCCCGTCCACAAACCCCCCAGAGACCTGGTGCTATTGCACCCAACGCCCTGCAGGACCTTCTGCGCACCCTCAAGTCTCCCAGCTCGCCCCAGCAGCAACAGCAAGTCCTCAACATCCTCAAATCAAACCCTCAGCTAATGGCGGCTTTTATCAAACAGCGAACAGCCAAGTACCACGCCAACCAGCCGCAGCAAGCAGGTCAGCAACAGCAGCCCGGCATGCCTACAATGCAAGCCATGGCCATGCCAGGAGGGGCAGTGCAGAGGCCGGGGGTGCCCCCACAGCAGGCTCAGCAGCCTCCTGCGCAGGGCATGGCTGCATTAGGGGCACAAGGACAGCTCATAAACGCAGCACACAACACCAACCCCCAGCTCCAGGAGCTTTACCGTCGGCAGCTCTTAAGACAACAGCAGCAACAACAGCAGCAGCAGCAACAACAGGGAGTGATGCCTCAGGGCCATCCCGGCCAGTTCCCTGCTCAGGCGCAGGGTACGGCAGCTACGTACTCCCAGCTCCGCATGCAGCAACAGCAGCAGCAGATAGCCATGCAGGCAGGTGCAGGAGCCGCTGGGGGGCCCATGGGCCAGCTCCCACCCATGGCACAGATGGCTCAGCCCGGCATGGGGATAGACTCCACCCAGAACTTGCTGCATCAACGAATGCTCCAGCAGCAACAGCAGCAGCAGCAGCAGCAGCAGCTTCCCCAGCAGCAGCAGGCCGTCCTCAAGCAGCAGATGGGCTCTCCCGCCCAGCCCAGCCCCATGAGCCCCCAGACCCACCTGCTGGCCGGCCAGCCCCAGGGTGGTGCCCACCTCCCTGGCCAGTCCACACTAGCCAACGCCCTCAACAACCAGGTCCGCTCCCCTGCGCCAGTCCAGTCCCCCTGTCCGCCTTCGCAACAGCAGCCCCAGCAGCAGCGGCCACATTCCAGTCCCTCGCCGCAGGTCCAGAACCAGCCCCAGCCCTCACCCCAGCACCCACATCCACCCCACTCGGCTTCCCCACACCCGGGACTGGGGGGCCCGCTTTCAGGCTCCATGGAGCAGGGACACTTGGGGACGCCAGAACAAAGCGCCATGCTACCGCAGCTTAACACGCCCAACAGAGGGGGGCTGAGCAGTGACTTGGGGATGGTGGGAGATGCTACAGGGGACACTCTGGAGAAGTTTGTGGAAGGATTGTAGCATTTCTGCTGGTAACTAAAGAACACAATCTCTCTCCCAGGGACCCATCCTCCCACTCCTCCTCCTCCTCCTTGTTTCCCCTCAGACTCTTTATCCCGTTAGAGGGCTTTGTTTGTTCTTTCTAAGGTTGAGAACGATCTTTTGTACTGACATGTAAAAAGTTTCAACTGTTGTAAAAAGAAAATTTGGTCGAGGAAAAAACAAAACAAAAAAAAAAAAAAAGTCAACACTTTGAGGGAATGTAATTGTTTCCTGAACCCAAGTGAGGGGTATTTCTTCCTTAAGATGTTGAGGGATTTGCAAGTTGCTTCTTAAATGAAATTTAAATCACAAAGAATATATTTTTTGGTTGAGACCAAATGTGTTCAATACTCAACTTATTTTTTGGTTTGTTTCTGGTATGGTTTCATGCCTTTCTCGTTTCTTTTTTTTTCTTTTTTTTTTTTTTTTTTTTTAAGAAAATGTACAATTGCATTATATTATTCATATCTTTTTATTTTGTACCTTTGGAAAAGAAACTTAAAGCATTTTTGTGTTGAAACTGTAAAATAATTTGTCTGGGAATTGGGCCAGGTTTTCGTTCTCTTCTCAAGCTGTCATTCCTGGCAATTGTAATCAAGTGTTGTACCATTACTCCAAGACGTTGCGTTCAGGGACCGCTCCCCTCCTCTTTGTGTGTATGAAGAGCACTCAGTTGTATTGAAATAGGAAACGGACTGCGGCAGGTTGTGTATACACGGGCATGTATACAGGCGCACATGAAGACACTGACACAAACCCTCACAGTCACTAAAATAACTACAGCTCCGACTGGTTTCACAAACACAGACGACAAGGACTGCATCCTACATCTCAGTGGCCTGGAATTTGGATAAATCTGTCTTGCAGGTGTGGAACATTGTTGCTTTGACATTAAAAAGAATTTGTCATACCTTTTTTGTCATACAAATGTTGTAAAGTGTAAAGAGAGTGTGAGAAAGAGACCAGCCCCCTAAGCTGAGGTGGAATGATCACCGGTTGTTTGTAGGCCACATCTCTGATGACGCCCCATCCTCTAAATTTTACACTAAGCCGTGTGCGATCTAGGGATGAAGGGCTCGTTTGAGATTCACCCTGAGGAAAACTAAATGTTATCAACCCTCATTCCTCTCTCACAAAAACTTGAATTAGGGGGGATTTACTTTTTCTCCTATTGTAAATCAAGTTATTAAGCAAAATACTATAAATATAAGGAAGAGAGAATGAAATCACTGTATAAACTGGTTAAAAGACTCATTTCTTACTTATATACCATATTGTTAAATAAACTGTGTGCAACAGAAGAACTCCAGTACTCTGTTGACTCAATAATGAGGCATCACTCCTGTGTGTGTGCGTCTTTGTGTTCATTTCTTTCAGCTCCGCACTGTTTCATTTTCCAGAGCAGTGTCCCTCAAATCTGGTTGAAGCCCTGCGTCTGCACTTTTCCGCCCAAAAATAACATATTTCTCGCAACAAGATTTTTTTTTTTATTCCTTATTCTGCATCTCATTTTCCACAGATTGAAAAAGTGGGTGAGTTACTTGTTACTAGTATTGCTTGGGAACCTTTTAATAGTTTGTAATAATTGCAGAAGTCATCTGTGTTCCTTAATCTTGTGCAGATATGCCGTGGCGGTATTTTGTCAAGTAAAGATCCCACCACAAATTACCTACCATATTTTCGCAAACACAGAGGTTATTTGATAGTTTTAGTCCCGTATAAATTGGCTTCTCTGTGATTAGGGGTCGCATTTAAATTTTTGGAATTATAAATGAAAGTTTCAGCTTCATTTTGGGTGCAGGAGACTCATCTCACTACATGTCATGGAGACCCATTTTCAGGAAGAGCAAGCTCAAATCCATCAGAAGAGCAAAATCTGAGATGTGACATTGTGTGGCTGAATTGCTTGTTTGGTTAACCCACATTTTTAAAATAAGATATGAACAATGTGCATCACTGCTTATCCCATGTGAATGCACTGCACAAAACAGATGTGAAGGGGTCATTTCTAAATCACCTGAGGTCCCCTGGTAATAAACCCTGTGGGAATAGGGCTGATATAGTTTCAGATCAAAGTGTATGATCACAGTTAAGGGAGTTTTTAGTGAAGGGTCAAAGTAGTCATGCAGTAATTTGCAGATAGAGCTCACATTTCAGAAGCTGAATAAGGTTACTAAAGCAAGCATCATTTACAAGTAGGGATATGATGGACAGTTAACATCCTCCCTCTGAACTTCACCTTTATTTGACAGTCACACTTCCATTCTAAAGCTTTGAAAAAATGGGCAAGTCAGCTCTGCTCAGGTCTCAAGTAAAGGCTTATAACTACATTTATAAACCTAGCTACGGTACAAGAAATAATGATTCTGGCACCAATGGAAAAATATGAAATGAAATAAAAAATCTTGAGCCCTTTAAAGGAATTGTAATAAAATTAGAAAACAATTGTCATGCACTTAATTCTGAATGTTTCCACATTTTCAAGTTATCAAAGTTTAACAGTCATAATTATCAAGAGTAAATTCATAAGCTTTGCAAGGATCTTTCAAGTGGGATAGAAGCACTTAACATTTCTATAACAGTAATGTCTTTATGAGGAACTAGCCTTCAGTCCTGTCTGGATTGCAGGCTCAAATACATTCAAACACATGACAGATACAGTAAGGATGACAGGAGTTTGTGGGTGTGTGTATCCTGTCTTACAATGATATGGTCGATATCATGGTCGTCACAGTTAGGTCACAGACATTGACAATAGCCTGAAATTATAATATTTAAGAAAGACATTTAAAAGGTCTGAGTGAAGTTAGTAGAACACAGATGGACCTGCTGGTCTTATGATGATGATCAAAGACGTTGAGGTAATGATGACTTGTCTTTTCTCAGAGAATAAAATGTTTACGACCCCTCAGATCCTAAAGGAATAATTTTTAAAGAATTAAAACTGTAAAACTGGGCTGTAGTAAAAATATAAAATATTTGGGATAAATAAACACTATGTGACAAGTACCTCAGTCACAAACATTTCTCACAGATGCTATACATATGTGGCTGAAGTAGTGTCAGGATGAAGTCACACTGTCCAACCCTCCTTAAGAACTTGAATGATTTTAATGATTCTGCAGGGATTTGCATTCACGTGACCCGAGAGGCGCGCTGTGCATTGGACCGTTCACCGTCACATGGCCGGAAGTTGACAACGAAGCGGTTGAAGCTGTGCTTTTAAAATAAAAACAAACCCCGCTGGCCTTTTGCCTTTTTTTATTAGCCATATAATTCACATATAATGCTGCATATATTTTAAATAAACGACACTCGCCGTCGCGACAGACTGAATGAACTGCGATGAGGGGGAAAGTTAAAACTGAAATGTAAATTCATCGAACCTGGGTGAGGATAAAGTGTTAGCGTGAACAGCTAGCTAGCTAACTGCTTTCTATCTAACGTTAACTGATATTTCCACTGCAAGCATGCGCTTTTAGACATTATTTGTCAGGAAATGTCCCCAAATTTAACAAAATTGTATGTATTTGAGTTTATGTCGCATCCGTTTTCCTTGATTTGTGCAGCAAAGCAGCAATACTGGCTCTTAAATCTTGCTAACGTGTTGTGTTGGAGCAAATTAAACTATCCACCAGTCACAGGGAGCCCTTGTGATCTCTGAACCCAATGTGGACTCCAACTTAAACCATCTCTCTTTGCAGGCTGGTCGTTACAGCTGGGGACATGCTGGCATGGCCTTTTAATGTGAGACGAAGTGCACCATCATGGATGACTCGGATCAGGATTTTGTAGATCTCTGCTCAAAGCTGTTGAGACGAGTCCGTAAGAAACCAGGTGAGTCCAGACAGCCGAGGAAGGCAGAGCGTCAGCCCTCCAGCCAGGCAAGCGATGGAGACAAGAGGAGGAGAAATCACAGAAGAGATGGTGACTCTGGGTCCCAGCCTGTTTGTACTGGTGCACAGGAGCGTGTGCTCTGTGGGGAGACTGGACATGATTCAGGAGATGCTGAGTCGTCATCAGGTGTGCCTTCAGCACCAGCACCAGCAGCACCAGCAGCAGCAGGACCAGCAGCAGCAGGACCCAGAGCTGAGAGACGTTTGTCGGCGAAAGACAAAGTACTCCACAGGATGCAACAGTTCAAGAGAGCCAGTCCGCAGAGGATGGTGCTCAAGGACAAGAGCCAGCCCACAAACCATGAGAACGACAGTGCTCCTCCTCCTCCTCCACCTCTGACTCAAGGACAAGGTGAGATGACATGATGCTCCTGGCACAGATTGTGCAGCACTGTTTCCAAGTGAACAGAGGGAATAGGCCTACAGCTTTTTCAAGACCGTAAAAATATGTAATCATCATCCATGATTGAGATCATACAAACTGTTTCGTCTTGTCACACCTCTTCGTAGGTCATATTTATCCTTGTTTTGTTGGGTTTATATTTATCTGCCTTTAATGCACCTTGATGTCACATGCAGGACACAAAACTGCACTCACAATTGGCATGGTCGTATAAGCTTGTCCCTATTGTGCTAATGTGGCAGCATTTAGATGATCACTGTCAGTGCTTTTAGATGACATTTACTAACAAGCACACCATGAGAAATAACGTTTTTATCCTGAGCTGTGCAGAAGTTGCAGTACAGAGTTGGAGGAGTGCAAATACAAATAGTACAATATACAAGGACTGTAAAACATCGTAGAAAAAACAAATGTGTAACAAATATAAATACGTGTAGCAAATAGACTCTGAGATACTTGAACTCCCTCGCTTCTGAAGATTTCACTTTACTGGTCCATCTACGTCCCAACCCTCACCTACGGTCATGTTCTCTGGGTTGTGACCGAAAGAATAATATCGTGGACACAAGAAGCCGAAATGAGTTTCCTCCATGGGGTGGCTGGGCTCAGCCTTAGAGATAGGGTGAGGAGCTTGGACATCCGGAGGGAGCTCGGAGTAGAGCCGCTGCTCCTTTGCATCGAAATATGAAAACTAGCTAACAGTAAGGTGCAATCCAGTATATACAGTGTATAAAACAACAAAAACAGGTTACCAGTTTGGATGATAAATAAAGTAGGGTTGTTTGTGTTTGTACAGTTTCAAATCTGAGGTAGTTGGTGTGCAGCTTTAGGAGTGCATGGTTAATACAGAATGCTCAGGATTACGCCCATGATGTTTCCTTAATATAACATTAATGCTAAGATACAATTGGATCTATATCAAAACATTAACACATTAAAGCCACAAAACTCTATTGATATACCATCTCCAGTACAAATGTAACTTTAGCACACCCTTACTTGTATCTATATTTGCCACCTCCCCTCTGCACCCAGATACTCCAGAGTCTTTCAGCTCAGGTCTCCACCCGGAGCCCCAGGAAAGCGATGAGGCTCTGGCCCTGCGACTGCAGCAGGAGCTGGACAGGGAGGCAGCAGAGGCCCAGACGGTCGACCTGGAGGACGGAGGCCTTTTCTTCTGTCAGATCTGCCAAAGAGATCTCTCACATATGACACCTGATGGGCGAACGCAGCATCTCAACAGGTTTGGACATTTACATTGTAGCCATTTGACTCATGCTCATATCTGGAGTGAATTACAACAGTAAAATTAACTAGAACGATCCTTCTTTGCAGATGTTTGGATGAGAGTGAAAAGACCGCCCCAGCCCCCCCTCCTCCACCTCCTGGGGTCCCCGACTGTCCCATCTGTGGCAAGAAGTTCAAGTCCCAGAAGAGTCGCTCGGCCCACCTCAAGCGCTGCTCCTCAGAAATGGGCGTCGCTCCGGCTGTGCTGCTGCAAGCTCTGCAGAGACAAACTGAGGAGACCCAGAGTGTCCCCACTGCTAACACAGTGTGAGTACACCTCAGTACCATAATACACCTCTGAGCTTCCTGTCAGGGGCCGATCAGACCAATTAACAGACAAAGAATGTCAAACTTAAGATGATCATGTTTTACTGCTTGCAAACCTTGCCCATAATAGGAATAGCTTGCCTATCAGTTAACGTCAGATATAGTACTTACAGAGTTTAATCAGCCCTCTTACCTTTCGTCTGTTTTTCTCTTCAGCACACAGACTGGTGGCACTAAAAGAAAAGGCCCATCCAAGCCGGGCCTCCCAGCCAAGAAGAAGCCCAGGAAGAAGACTCCACCCCTGGACGAAGAAACCATGGTGGCCATGGCTCTGTCCTCCTCTCTGCTGGAACAACAGCAGCAGAGCGACAGGGAGTCAGAGATGTTACAAACTGCTGCCTTGCACATCTCTTCGACTCCAGCGTTAAAGTGGAGGCCAGACGCAGGTGATGTAACATCACTGTATCAACAAAAAGACGTTTTTTGATGAAGCACTAACAAACAGCAGGGAGTAAAAAAAAGTCAAAATTCTCCGCTTGCAGCTTTTTAAATGCAATTTTCCTCAGGTTTCTCTACTCCTTTATGACAGTAAACTGCATATCTTTGGGTTGTGGACAAAACAAGACAATTGAGGACGTCATCTTTGGCTTTTGCAGCATTTTCTGGCCTGAAACTGATGCTTGTTTCATACCATGGATTCAGAGCTGCTTGATTCTGATTGGCCATGGCGTTTGTATACGTGTAGGTAACTGTGCAGTAGCCACATGAATGCTGTGAGCTTCAGTTGTGTGTTGGCTTTGCTGGTTCTTGTAATGTAGCGCTAGGGGAGCTTGTTCAAAGCCAAAAGTGGTGCAACAAAAAGTTTCCAGTAAGCAGTGAGTGTGATAGCTGGTAGGTGCCTGTGGTATAAACTAAAACTGCTAAGACTGAGAGATTTGTTTCTGTGGTTAGTTCAGTAGCTCATAAGTAAGCCACAGGGGTAAATGCATTTAGATAAGAGAGGTTATAGGAAGTAACAGCCCTCTTAACTTGGAGATCCAAGTTCAGGCGTCTTTGTAAGCAAACACCCGCTCCACTGAAGTGTCGCTGAGGAAGAAGCAGTACTAGCTCCAGAAGCTGATGGCTGAATGAATGGATGTCAAATGTGTTGTGAAACTCTCCAGTAGCCTTTTTACAGTTACAAGTCTGTCGTATTTAATTTGAGAAACTCTTTAAATCCCTAGAGGCAGTTTTCATGTTTTCTTTTTGGTCCCGCAACAAATATTTTAGTCTGTGTGTATTGTGTGTCTGTGTTTGTTACCTTTGGCAAGGCCTGAAGCAGTGTACACACCACAACACAAATGCAAAGCACAAACTGTTCAAATAATTGGCTTCAGATCACAATGGTTTTATTTTCAGGACTACCAAAATTCACTTAGTTGATAAATTATTTAAAGATTATGTCGTAAATACTTGAGCTCTGTGCAAGTCTTTAGATGCCTCACCTGACCCCCTTCTCTGTCCTCTGCTCCTCTTGGTGCAGGTAAGGGGCGTGGGAAGAGGAAAAAGGGCGCCGTCCCCCGTCCTCCTCCTCTCCTCCTCGTCCAGGACGCCGAGGTGGCACTGGCGAGGCTGCAGGAACGAGTTTCTGCTCTCCTCCTACGCAGCCGGGCCCCGTCTCCACCCACCCCGACCCGCTGCCCCAGCAGTCTGCCAGGCTGGAGCGGTGCTGCCCCCCTGTGGCAGAAGAGCGCACTGCTGGACGGAGCCAACACCTGTCTGTCTGATTTCTACACCCCAGAGCTCAGAGAGTTCATCACGCCTTGGGAGGCAGCGGCGGTGAGGAGACAGAAGACATGTTTATGTACTTTGTTGTTTGTTCTGTGTTGTTTGAAGCTATCAGTCACCTTTTGAGATGGAGAACCACACACTGTCTGGTAGTTCTGTCCTGTGGGTGGCTTAACACAAGTGCTGAAACTTTGAAAGAGAGATGCTGTGTTTTCTGTTATTAATCAATAACTACTGCCAGTGGATCAAATTAATCATAGTGCTGTCCACCTGTAGACTGATGCAACCACCTCCAGCACCGTCAACAAGCCTGAGTCTTCCTTCCGACCTGTGAGTGAAGGAACTCCTGTCACAGGGACCAGGGCCTCCACCCTGCCATCCTCCTCCCAGACAGCCTCCTCTTCCCAGACGGCTCTCTCCACACCGGGGACAGGCCGGGCACTCCTGATGGACCTGATGGAGCTGGTCGAAGACGGCGCGACCCTCACCCAGTATGGTCACACTGCTCCAGGCCCTGACACAGGTAACGCACTCACACACATGGCTGTAATCCATGGTTTATGGCGGCTGGGAGAAGATTTCCCTTCAGGGCTTTCAGCCAGATAATCCTGAAGTTTTGGGGAAAAGATGATGGTTTGGGCTCAAATGAAAAGATTTCTCCAGAAAGGGCTCTCCACCAAAAAAAAAAAAAGCCCTGAAGGCTAACGTATTCCATGTTCTGTTTTATGAGTGTTAGTGGAGTCAGTTTAAAGTAAACTTAACTGCACTTAACCAGTTAGAATTATTTACAGTTATGTTTGTTGGTGGTAACTTTTTATCTTTTATGGCCAAAAACAAAACAGAAAGGGGTGGCAGCTTCTTCTGTAACCGATTGTGTTAAATAGGCTCACAATATTGTGTTATATCGATCATAGACCCCTGAGTGGAAGTGAATCAAAATCGTATTGTGGCAGATTTATGATATCAGCAAATGTCCTATTATTGTCCAGAGAATCGATATAATATCATATTGTGACAAAATCAGTGATTTATACCTCTAGTTCTAATGTTAAAGTGACAAAATTGTAACTTTAAAACTTTCTTTATAGTTTTCCTGCAAATGTAGTTTCATTTTATCTTAAAATATTTGTCCTTCAGTTGTGTTTATTATCCTTTAGCTATGCATTAAGTGCATAAATATTTGCTTGTGCATAAATGTTAAGTTCATAAATGTTTGCTTTGCGTTTGTTTTCATACCATAGCGTCCCACGACCACAGTCACTTATCTTTCAAATAATTATGTGCAAAGTAGCCAGGAAAATATGTTGCTTAAAAGTCATGTATCTTTTTGTATATATATAGTATGTAAGAAAATCACTTTTAACTGCTCTAATCTGGTTTAGAAATCTGTGTTGCTTTTGTAGTTTTACACTGTCATGGAGTTAGGTGATACAGAGAAGAACAATATAAATACATTTTTGACCAAATGCTTTGATACCAATATTTCAAGGGTATTGTAGGGTTGACGATTGCTTTTACAAAATATTTACACAATGAGATTTTTGATAAATAATCATCAGCATTATGGATTTAATGAGTAGAAAAGCAAGAACAGTCTGGTAAATTCAGAAAATTACATCACTTTATTATAATTCAGCCTTTAAACCAGGAATAAAAGCACTTCTAATATTGATATTAAAAAAAACCCTAAGATAATATCTAGTCTCATTATCACAATATTGATATAACATCAATACATTGCACAGCCATGCTCTGTTGTAACCCATGGGAGTAACTCGCCAACTCAAATTGTTACATAGTGACTTAATTGGTCATCAGTTCAGATTCCTGATTGTCTTTGTTTTCACAGACAAAAGTGTCAGTCAGAACGCAAATCTCCGTCTGAGCGGCTTCGTCCTGGAGGAGTCGGAGGAGCAGGCTGACTTCTGTGTGAGTGGCTTCCTACCAGATACAACACACACACATTCAGACGCTGCCCGCAGCCGAGAGAGGAGGACAACTGTTCAGGCAGGGGCGGATAAAGACGGAAGCGGCCACCGATCAGTAAGACCTTATTCTGACATTTTCAACCTGCATCCTGAATTCTGATCTTTTTCATACTTTGTCTCTGACTTCATCTCATCTGCTGCATTTCTGTGTAGTATCTCTTGTCTCTTTGGATGCATGTCTCTGCATCACAGTCCTGTAAGTCCTTTATGTTTTCTGACAGAGATTTTCCAAACTGAGATGATACATGCCACATGGCACGTCTTGTCTGTTGTGCACTCTTTGTGCATTTACATATTAAATCTGCAGTTCACTGACCCCAAGTGTTTCCTGCTGGTGTTTCCTCTGTAGGTGGCGCTGTCCAGACTTGCATCAGACCTGAGCAGCATGGTGAACAACCCTCAGCTCAGTGACCTGCAGCTCCAGGTGGACAGCGGAGAGGTCTACTTTGCTCATTCCTTCATGGTGTACACTCGATGCCCCCTGCTGGCAGAAATGGTAACAGTTTATCAGTGTGTGTGTGTTGCTGCAAGGCACAACCCTGCAAATATATGAACCAAGGCTGCAGACGAATAGTTAAAAAAAACCAAACATTATGTGTCTTTTCCTCGCCACTTTTCCTTAACCTCTATGGAAAACATCATGAGGTCAAGAAAAGATGTGAAGGAGAGTGCATAAGGTCTTAGGAAAAGAGAATCCGACTGTACTTACACAAGGCTACATAATTGTGGACGGCAGATGTCAATGACGTGGGTCACTTTAAAGTGTTGCTGCCACATGGAACTGTGGGACGGCATTATCTTCTGTACTTTCATAAAGGATGGTCCAGTGCACTCCATGCTAAAGGAGAAAAGAAAGGAAGCACTGAAGCTCCTCTGCTTAGCATTTAGAAAATTTGACCAGCTCTCATCATGGCTGCGACATAGATACTTCTGGGTCATTTCACTCAGTGAGGAACCTTCCTAAGCAAAAAAACACTATCTGACTGTGGCCCAGGACTGTGTTTAATATGTATAAGTCCATTTTCATGGACAGTACAGTAGTATAAGTGAAAGAGGACGCACTAACAGGATACAAAGACTTAAGTCTGTCACATAAACATTTAGTTTGTTAAATTAAATACATTTTAACATTCCATCATCGTTTCTCCTTCATCCTCTGCTCCTTTCACAGGTTCATGAAAGTGGTTTTGGGGTGCGGGAGGAAGGCATGCCTGCGGCCCAGAGGGTGTTGATGAATGACGTCCCGGGACAGGCGGTGTTTGCTTTGCTGCGGTATCTCTACACAGCTCGCTGCGCCATCCCAGCATCACTTCGTCCTCACGTGCTGGAACTGGCATCCAGGTTTTTATGCATCTATACCATTTTTGTCTTTGGAATCAAAAGTTTTGGTCCACCTCTGGACAAGCTTATCTGTTGACCCTCAGGTTTTTGATCGGGTGTGTTGTATTTCATGCTGAGCAGGGTAAAGCGTAAAGCATCAGCTCGGATTTTACTGAATAGTTCATAACAGGTCAAGTTCAAGAGCATGTATATGAAAATTATTTAAACATTCCTATGGTTGACTCCAGCGTTGTGACTCCTCTCTTCTCTTGTTGTGTTTGTTAAGGTTTGACTTGCAGGAGCTACAGCAGCTTTGTGAGCTCCACCAAGAGGATGCAGCGCCTCCAGGGGACGAGGAGGACTACATAAACCAGGAGGAGAATGTCAACAACCAAACAGACCAGGCCCTCATGGTGCTGCTACGCTCCATGTGGGGCGAGGAAGATGAAGACGACGAGGGCACGGACACAGACGGAGGAAGGGACAAAGAGAGAGACTTGGAAGGAGATCATCATGGCGACGACCTCGCATCAGGCGACGGGGAGATCAGTGAGGAGAAAGTGAATGAGGATGAGCTGGAGGAGATTTATGAGTTTGCTGCCACACAGAGAAAGAGGGAGGAGGAGAAGGACAGCATGGAAGAGGAGGAAGAGGAGAGGGTAGATGAGGAAGAAGATGGAGAAGAAGTGTTCACAAAACTGACGGAACCCAGACAAAGCTCAGCAGGCTTCAGCATAAAGAAAAAATCTCAACTTGAGCCAGACCCCAGCCTGGACCGCAGCTACAGCCGCCTCTTCTCAGAATCCTGGGGGGTCTACGAGGAAGAAGAGCCTTCCTCTTCACCTTCTACTTCCCACTCTGCTAAGGCACACACTTCTCAATCCCAACAACACCAGTCTCCTCATAAACCCTTATCTGAACTGTCCGGCAGAACTTTGCTTCAGTCTTCAGCAAGCGTAGCTGGCGACCTTTCCCCCAGCCCTCCACCCAGTGCATCCAACCTGCCTATTCCAGGCCAGTCCCCTGGTGAAGCGGGTGACTGGGGTGGTGGTGGAGACAAGGGAACAGATGCTTTGAAGCGGGAAAGCCAAGGTCCTTGTAGTATCTGTGTCCCTTTTTCTCCTGATTCGTCTCAGGAGAAGAAGGAACCTGAACTCATCGTTTTATCTGACTCAAGTGAGGAGATGGAGGTAGTTCTTAGTTCCCGCAGTCCTTCACCAAATTCCCCTTGCGTCGTCCAGAACTTGCAGAGCTACACCCAGATCAAACCTCAGCCAGTCCTGAAACCTAATGAACTTACCCACAAGGATAAACAGTCTAGTAGTTTAGAGATTAGTCCTCATGATTCAGCTGCAGCACCGGGTCAAAGTCGTCTAGATGACCAGGATCTTTTAGACTGTTCTCCAGAAGTGTCCTGGCTGATCCCGTCCACACCGGTCCAGCCCATAAGAAGCTCCACAACCAGCTCCACTCAGACCAAAAGCAGCATGTGCAGGACGCAGCTGTTCCCTCGAGCCGACACTTCCTCACACTCATCTTCTGCTTTCTCCTCTCCTGCTTTACCTCTCAACAACAGACTGCAGACGTCCAACAGTTCAACCAGAGCTTCTGCCTACGTTGCCCCAACACAGGGAAGTGTTCCCAAATTAAAACTGGACGAGACCAGTAGCGCCAGCTTGGATCTCAACCTTCCTTCTAAACGAACCACTAGTTGTGATGTGAGTAAAGATAGAGGAGTACTTGCAGCACCCCTGTGCCAACCTAAGCCCTCAACCATGACTTCCTTACAGGATACACCCCTCCATGCCCAGCTGCAGCCTTACAGCAGCACTCCCCTCCACACAGAGCTCCATAAGGCCCCCGTTCCTTTTGCCACCTCCCCTCTCCATAGCAACCTCAATAAGCAGAGATCAACAAGTCAAGGAAAGCCATCTGAAAGCCCGGAGAAGAGGCACAGCGGGTCCTCTAGTCAAAGCCGACGCTCTGTTGAGTCCAGCAGTCACAACAACACAGATGAGCTCAAGAGCAAGGGGATTAAAGATGAGGAAGGAGAAGCAGAGACAGAGTGTGAAAATAAAGGAGAGAAGGAAGAAGCAGAAACTGGATTGGCAGAAACTGCTGAATCCAGTTTACAGCAGAGCTTCATGGACGAGCCCCCCATAGCTTTCAACGACTCGTGGGGTTTCGACGCCTGTGCAGACGTAGATGCGAACCCAGGCTGCTTCAGTCTGAGGCTGGAGGACAGCGGAGCTTCCAGCCAGCAAGGAGAGCGCAGCCTGGGACAACGAGAAACAGCCAGGTCACCCTCTTCTGTCGCCTGTCGACCTTCACCATCCAAACACAGTGTCCATTTACTAAACAGCCACAGCAGTGTGACTGCATCCAAAGCTCACAGCACACAGCCGTCCAGCAGTGAACAGGCTCATTCAGACCTTTCCTTTACTCCTTCACCACCTAACCCCACCACCCGGACCCCACCACCGATCAGCAACAGCCTCCTGGAATCCAAAGTGTGGGACAGCTGGGAGGAGGAAGAAGAGGAGGAGGCTCTTCCTCTATCTCAGAGGGCGAATCCTTCAGTTCAGCTCAAAACACCAGGTAAGTCATGACTGCTGTACTTTCTGTAAGTCACTGGAATTCAGTATCTGAGGTTTTGAAAAAAACATTCTGCCAACAGTGATATTATTTTTTGAGCAGACAGATACGCTGATTAATGTCAACATGCCTTCACAAGAGGCTGGTTATGATTTCCATATCTTAAAGCATTAAAGAGTAAAACTGTAGCTGTTTGATAGAATCACGTTTCCTCAATTAATATGCACATTTCTGCTGAAAGGTGTTTGGATCATCTGCTCTACAAAGCAGTCTGTGGTCTAAGTATGAAGTTGGTATTTCACTTCATGAGTTATTGTATTCCCAAGACTCTCATACATGTACACAAACAGTTAGAAACAAACTGGTAGGGCTGCAACTAACGATTATTTTCATTGTCGACTAATCTGTCATTTATTTCTTCGATTAGTCGACTAATCATTTTATTGAAAAATGTATTAAAATGTTGAAAAATGTCGGTCTGTCTCTCCCAAACCCCAAAATCATGTCATCTTGTTTCGTACTCACGCCAAAGGGTTTTAGTTCACCGTCATGGGAGAGTGTGTAAAGCTGCCAATATTTGAACGTAAGAAGCTGCAGTAAGAGTCTTTTGGGGTACTTTTATAGTCAACTAATCATCGATTAGTCATCAATTAGTCGACTAATCGTTGCAGCCCTACAAACTGGTAATATTGGTGGAGATTCTCATTCATCCAAGTCATGGCAATCTTAAGTGTTATATCGTAGGCACCTGGACTTGCTTGACTTTGTTAAAGACGTTTCACCTCTCATCCAAGAGGCTTCTTCAGTTCTAACAGACTGGTGCAGACACAGAGTTTAAAGCCAGTGACTCCGACTGCTAAAATAATATAACAGCCAAATGTAGATATTAATTGTTTGAGGCCTTCTCAAGTTGCTGACACAGATTTATTGATTGTTTCTATGCCCATTTTTAAAAAAAAATAAAATAAACAATGAATCCATTAGTTGATTAGTCAGAATTAATTGACAACAATTCTGATAATTGATTAAATTTAGGCCTGCAACAGACCATTGTTTTATCAGTGCCTATCACAGTTTTCTAAATTCCACATCTTTACACATCTTGTTTTGTCTAATCAACATTCTAATAACTCCAAAATATTCAATTTACTGTCACAGAAGGTGTTTTGGTTGGAAAAAAATGACTCAATAAGCAGTTAAAATAGCTGCTAATTTAAATTTCTCTCAAACATATCAATGAACCCACATTTTGTATCAGCTCTAATTAAATGCTTAGAGTTCCAGTGTGTTGGGTTTAGGGGCATGTGTTGGGATAAATGGTATTTAATATTAATATATGCCATTATAATATAATAAGTGTGTTTTCTTTAGTTTAAAATCAACTGAAACTAAGATTGTGTGTTTGTTACCTTTGAATAAGCCATTTATATCTAGATACACAGTGGGTCGTCCTACAAAGAAGTCTGACATGCTTTCTCTTTTAGCCCTAAACAAAAAAAAGCCAAACCCTGTCTCTAGATAGGTCCAGTCCCGTTTTTTGGACTTCATGTACCTCAATTCTCCTACACACTTGGAAAACAGGAGGTGTTTCAGTTCTGCAACCTCACTGCTAGATGTCACTAAATCCTGCACACGAGACCTTTAAGCCCACTGTCACCAAGAACACTGCTCATCCTCTGGCTCCAGATTCTCCAATAAGGATCTGCTCTTTTATGTCACTGTAACTACTTTTTGGGGTTTTGAAATGTTGGATGGACAAAACAAGACATTAAAAAAAATGTTTGACTCACTCAAAACTATGGAACATAAAGACCTAACAATATGATTCATGAACAACATGACTCAGTGATTCATGGACAGTGATTCATGTATGCTCTGATGAAGGTCTGATAGACTGAAAGCTCAAAGCGAAACACTGCATAGATTTAACTTAGCAGAAGGTTTTTTCCACCAGCTGGACTTAGTGATGTTTCAGCACCTTGCTAAGACTAAGCTTGGTGGAGCGGTTGTTGTCCTGCATCATGGACTAAACAATAAATTAATGGATAAATGAATCAATAATGAAATCAGTCCTTAGTTTCAGCCCTCCTTTTTTGTTGGGTGCAGCACTTTTTTCATTCCATGGATAACTGGCCAAACGTAGATAACATTGTGGGACATCTCAGTGTTTGTTGCTCATTAAGAGATCTTTCAGCTTTCTAATATTGTCAGCGGCAGATTTTAGGTTTTGGTGTCAGTCCCAGAATAACACTGCAGCTCCAGAACCCAGTGATTTCAGTAAGCTGCTGCATCCATAGCCACACTTTTGTTCGGTCACACAATCTGGCTAAATAGTTATAGTATAATTACAATTTGTCCATATGCCCACCTTTCTGTAAAAACAACTAATCCATGTGTGCCTTTGGTTTTGCTCGAAATACCGTAAACTGTAGTTAATTACTGAAGGAAAACAGGTTCATCAACTTAAACCAGCATTACGCACTGAACACAGTGTAAATGATACCTCACAGTGTTAATTCAGGTGCATAAATTAGACTGTAGTCTTAAATAATGTCTTCCTGTTTGTGTCTCCACAGTGACATCACACAATAAAAGACGTCACACCCTGGTGCCCATCACCCCACTGCCCCACTACTCTGACATGGACACACCGGAGCTCAAGAACAAGCTCAACAGGTCAGCAGGTTCACTCTCATCCCAGCCCTGACGTTACAGAAAGGGTGACGAAGGGCCACTGTGTTTTTGTCTAATAAAGGCAATTAACTGAGGAGCCTATCCATTTACCTCCCGCGGTGTCTCTGTCAACTTAGTCTGTCTGGCTCTGCACTCTGTCTCAGGCTGCTTTCCTCTCGTCCATCTGTTAGTTCGTCTGTCCTCACTTACTTTCCTTTCCCGTGCAGGTTTGGTGTTCGGCCTTTACCGAAGCGCCAGATGATCCTCAAACTGAAGGAGATCCACCAGTACACCCACCAGCTGGTCAGCTCTGACTCTGAGGATGAGGCGCCGTCAGCGGGCCGCACAGTTCGGACGAAGCAGCCGCCCACTGGTTCAGAGGCTCCTGACAACAGGCCGGTCTCCTGCACCCAGAGAGTGAAGTTTAAAGAGCCGAGAGCCCCCGCTGCCATCTCCCCTCTGAAAGCCAACAGAGAGGAGGAAGCAGAGCTGCTGTCTGCCTCTCAGGGCTCCAACACCTCCTCAACTGCTGCCAGTGAAGAATCTGAAAGGTACTGTGTGCGTTTAAGTGCGTGGATCATCTCGTAACTGCACGCTTAAGGCATCGAACATTCTGTTTTTGTTGCCAGGCATATTTTCGGAGAGCTCAGTTAATATTTTGTACACTCATGTTCAAATGATGGCATCAGTAGAAGTCCTGTCACACAGCACACACCTGCACAGGTTGTACCAATGTGGTGTCCTTTAAATACATTGACATACAAAATATAGAAAAATATGTAACAGAGTTGAGTGAGCTTTGAGAAAAACTGTCAAACTTTTTCTGGTATCACCGTCTTAAATTTAAGTTTTTTCTCCTTTGCTTTGTTGCATATAATTGTAAATTCAGTATCTTTGGGTTTTTGGACTTTGGTCAACCAAAACAAGTCATGTGTATTAGAGTGGCACCAAAGACACAGTGGCACCAAGAGGACAATTTACAAACTACCGTTATCAGCAGAACTTGGCTCACTAGTGGCCAATGGCTAGGCAGCCTCCACCAGTCACACAGGGACGTGATCCAACCGGAACAGTGGGTACAGCTCCAGAGACAGCAGGTCCCTTCTGGCCTCTGTCTGAATGTACTGTTCATTTTAAGGCACATTAACATGAAGTTTCTGGCTGAACCCCAGCAGTGGGGGCAGCGCTATAACCCTGAAAATGTGATTAAGTGAATGCCACCACTTTATATTTCAAATTAAAAGCCCTCGTTTCCACAGTCCAGCAGCTATCTGCTTTCTCCTGCTACAAACTACCATTATTATGTTGACCTTTGAAAATCAGTCAAACTCTTACATGTCTATATATGTGACATTAGGCTCATTAGGTTTTGGTTTTTTTTACATTTGACTGACAAAATGATATTTAAGAAAACAATCTCTTCTGAGAGTAATTGTTAGATTCAGCTCTAGTTGGCAGCATTCATTCACGTTTATGAAATATACTGTCTTTGGAATCAAGTTTCAACTTGAGCAGTTAGTGTTTCCAGTTGACACAACATTTTTGGAGGCATACTTATAAGATTTAAAGGAGCAGTGTGAAAGATTTAAGGGAATTTAGTGGCGCCTAAAACTGTGAATGGCCCCATCTAGAGCCAGTGTGTAGTTCTAGACCCACTCCCTTTGTAGATATAAACCACTCATTCTAAGGTAACAAAACACAACTATTCTTATTTTCAGATGATTATACACTAATGAAAACACACTTGTGTTATATTCCATTTTTGCAAACATATCCCCCCGTTGTATAGGTGTCTGTACAATGACAATAAAGGCTATCTTGAATCTTAAACCCTTCACACTGGAGTGTTATTAAGAGAAGCCTAACACTCCTTCCAGCTTCTTTTTAAATTCAGGTTGTAAGACAGTGTATAATTGTCACATAAATATGGTACTTATAGCTTTGAATAAAAATATCATAAATTCGTTATGTGTGTCTAACCACTTTCCTGTCTCTCAGCAGGTCCAACCCAGAGCTGTGCCTCTCCTCCGACTCAGACAGTGACAGTGGTATTTCTGCCTCCCAGTCAGCAAACCGCCTTCAGGATCGCCTCCAGGCTGTGCGCTCTTTCATCCTGTCTGACTCCACACTGTACAGTCAGATCCTCCAGTACCAACCTCTGGTCTTGTCCCAGCTCCAGGAGCAACTCAAAGCAGCAGGGATCCGCCTGGGTGCCGCCAAGCTGGCGGACTACCTGGACTCCCAGTGCATCACCTTCACCACAGCCAAGCCGGGCCACTCCGCACCCAGCCGCAGGCGGGGCAGGAAGACAGGCAAGGGGGCAAAGGTCGCGGGTGGAAGCACAGCAGGCAGGAAAAAGGCTATTACAGCTATGATTTAAAACTTTTTGAATGCAAGGAAGGTTTGAGTAGAAACTGAGAGGTGGCAGGTTTTATTGAAGTGCTTTTGTGTGACAATAACTTGAAGCAGAAGAAGCCATGAGAACAGCTGTTCTTGGACAACTGGTACCAGAAGGACTTTTACCAGTTTGTTTAAAACTGTGTAAAAATACAAATATTTCCTCAGGAAAAGTTTTATAATTTAAGTTTGTTTGAAATGTTGCATTATGAACCCAGTGTGAAAATGTGAAAATTAAAAAATGGTAAATGTTTCTATGGTTCACTGTCGCAAATGGTTCCTTAGCTTTGATTCACTCTCGTCTCGCTATGTAAATTTCACACAATTTATGTATGTGATGGTATAAAAATAATCTTACAACCCAGCCAGGTACTATCAATATTATAAATGTGCCTCATGGGGACAAAAAATTCACTAAAATATTTCCTAATTACAAATTCCATCAGACAAGAAATTTTTGAAAAACATTTTACTTTTTTTTGCTTTTCAACAGATTTATATCCAAAGATCAGCCAAGATGTACATACAGCCGAGAACACTTGAGAAAGGAGGCAGGGTTCTCACAACTTCTATCCGATACGTCATTCAAGTAGAGGCGGGTCCTTTGTAGCAGCACAATCACGTCAGCGCTGTCAGAGGGTTTGTGTTGTGCACCCAGTGTTTCTTCTCTCTCTACAGCAGCGTGAAGCGCAGGGCATCGAATCAGATTCCAAATTACATGCGACCTTTTCACACCGTAAGTCTCGGAGACTTGCTTCGCCTCCTCTTCACCCTTGCGACGCCCTCACTGTGGAGCATCAGCGCGGTGCTTCCTGTCCTGGCTCAGAGCCTCACCCAGTCATGACAGGTTGGCAATGTTGGCAAGGAAGCGCTGGGCCCACCACTCCTCCAGATCTATGGGCACAAAGTCTGCACAGGAAGAGACAACAGAGGGGATGAAGAATTAAAGCATAATCATGTTCTATGATTGATTCATCTTGTTCATTAATTACTGACTTTGTCACATGGGTACCAAAGTCAAATTCATTTTAGGACAACAAGAGGTGACAAAATGTCAACCAAGTATGGAAGTGCATTACTATACTCAGTTACTGATTGAGTTACTTATTACAGCTGTTACTGTTGTTTTTATTAGGGTTGTTGCTCATCTTGTCCCAAAAGATTAGATGTTTATACACCCATCAGCCTAAACATTAAAACCACACGGTGGAAGTGACACTGATCATCTTGTTACAGTGCAATGTTCTGCTAGGGACCCTTGAGTCTTCTCATTCATTGACACACACCACCCACTCATGACAACAGTACTCCTCAATGGCAGTGACCCCCCAGCAGGACAGTGCGCCATGCTACATCGCAAAAACAGCTCAGGAACCTGGCCTCCAAATTTCCTTGATCCCAATTAGAGCGTACATGAGAATGTGCAGGTAGCCTATCTCTCAGCCCACAGGACTCCAAGGATCTGCCACCATCGGTTAGGTACCAGACTCCATGTGACACAGCCCAGACCTCCCATGTCCATGGTCTGACAGGTCAGAGCCAAGTCCGATCAAAGGTGGCCCCACCGTGGGTCAGACTTGTCTTTGGGGTACCGGCATGTCCCAGGGATGCTTGAGTGGCGATGCCTTGAGCTTTTTGTCACGTTCTTCGGGCCATTCCTGACCAGTCTTTGTGGTGTGGCATGGCACATTGTCCTGCTTGGGGGGCTACTGCCATCGGAGATTGTACCGTCGCCATAAGAGGAAGGCACTTGCGTTTGGAGCATGTCAAGTGGCATCCACATGAATGCCAGGACCAAAAGTTTCTCAGCAGATAACAGTAACAAGAGGATTAATGTTGTTTTCTTCACCTGTCAGTGGTTTTAATTTTGTGGCTGATCATTTTAAACAAGACTTAGAGTCTACACTCATGCTAGCGGCTCTGTGAGGCTGTACTAGAGCATAGTGGTGCTTTGAGCTAAATGCTAACATCAGCATGCTAACATGATGTTTAGCAGGTATAATGTTTACCAATTGAGTTTAGCGTGTTAGCATGCTGACATATGCTAAAGCACAAAGTACAGCTGAAGCGGATGGGGATGTCATTAGTTAGCAGGTATTTAATCATAAACCGGTGTTGACCCGATGATAAATGAAAAGTCAGAGGGTTAAAGAAGTTCTTGGAGTTCAATCTGAGGACAACATGAATACATTTAATGGCAATCCATCCACTAGTCATTAAGACATTACACCCAAAACCACAACCACACTTTTCAACCTCATGGTGGCACTAAAGGTAGACTTCATCCTCTGGGGATCATGAATGTCTGTATGAACTTTTGCTGCCATCTATGTAAAAGTTATTGAGATATTCCAGTCTTGATCCAACCCACCAGCTGACAAAGCCATCCACAGAACCACGGTGCTAGTGTGGCTAAAGAATACAAGTGCCTCAAATCCACAGTAAAATACAAGAAATGTCCCTTTTACTCTTCAGTGAATCTGTTACAACCTCTGAGGGCAGTGTGCCATGGAAGGAACCGGAGCAGACGGGTGTGTGTGAGGCAAGACAAGACACGCTGCTACAATCAGCGGTCTGGGCTGGTTTATCTGGAACAGCCAGGTTCTCATACGCCGACGAAGAGTTAAAAATTAAAGCAGATTATTACAACAGTTAACCTCTGGCTACAGATAAAGCTGAGCCAAAAAAAAAAACACCTCATGTGATAAGTGCGGAGACATGAGAGCAGCCGTTCACCTTGCCTCTGGTGTTTAACTAACCGGGGATAATAAAAACACTGCAGGATGACTGGTTCAGAGTTCAGAGGGTTACAAAGTAGAAAGAAGGTTATCTGTTTTCGGATGCTGTAAAACTGTAAGTAGTGAGATTTAACGAGAGTGGATTCACTTTGTTGTAGTATTGTGCTAATCAAAGTGACACCCTGTGTTAAGGTGGAGGGGGAGATGCAGGTACTTACTCTTCATCGCAGCACCGGGAGTCTTCTCAGTGTACTGAATGGGCGCCTGGCTGTCAGATGACTCCCCATTGTCCCCGTCCCCCAGCTTCCTCTCCACCTCCTGCCATGCTGCAAGCAAACACATAGAATATATGCTGAATTAACTGAGATGCTAACTTGGTCAACGGGAATCTGGCTGCTCCCTGCAAGTAGGCTTTTTAATAGGAGGTATAAAATATAACTAATTAACTTTTCTTTCTCCATTTCTGAACTTAGCCCTGACACTGGATCAGAGGAGGCAACATCTGCACAGCACTGACCCCTTTCAGGATAATGTAAATAGTTGTGTGAAGGCTAATTTGGTCTGCGGTGTGTGTTTTATTTGCTGTGGATGAAGGTCTCCCAGCTTCACCCCCTGATAAGCCTTGTGGTTTTGTCGCAGTGGAAGAGTCCTCATCTCGCCTTGCACACAAACTGTCTGCAGCACATTGTTTGCTCACAGGTGGAGCAGTCCAACTTAAACTAACGTGTTGATGTCAAAGAACGAATAAACCAGCTGTATGTTCGGAGGTGACATTTGTCGTCACGGTGAACATGTTCAGCTCGAGTGAGAGCCATCTGGTTTTCTATCTTAAAACAAGTCGACAGACTGCCCGGAGGTCACAAAAGGACACCACAGAGCGGTCTGTGCAGGCGGCGGTCCAAGAGCAAAACAGATAACTGGTTCATGCCGATTCAGCTCTGCAAGTCATTCATTTCCACCAGGGCATGAAGTATTGGCCAGCAAGTGGAGCATGCTGGGTAAACTTCAAGACAGGGAGAATGGTGGAGGGCCGGGATTTTTAATCACGGTTGGGTTTTAATGACTTTAACTTGTCTGAAACACTCTCGTGCCACATTCATTTCCTGCGTGAGGCTGCTGCTGGTTTGTTTGTATATTTAGGTTCATTTGTAACTGCTGAGGAGCTGAGACAGTGTTGAGTTAATGTGTGGCTGTACACACAACATGTTTACGGTGTATCAACATGTGCACGCAATGGTGTTTTTTACTGTAAGACTTTAGACTTCTGAGTAATTACCAAGGAATTAGTGAGACACAAACCACTAACTGATAATTAATGATTCTCTAACAAGTGGTCTAAAGAAAATTAATAGTCAGTAGATAATGTGAGGATAAGAACGTAACTATGCAAGATTTGGCGTAGCTCAGTGTAAAGCAGAGGTATGGACTCTGGAATCTGACGACTTGAGACTCGACTTGATAATATCAAAGTAGGCCTGCAACTCGACTAAGACTTAAACCCCAGTGACTTGTGACTTCACTTGGATTCGAGCCTTTTGACTTGAAAATACTCAATACCTTCCTCCAAGTCCAAAGATTAAAAACTATGTCCTTTAAAAAGTAAGTTACGACTCAATCAATTTATTTCCCTTCATTTCCTGAATCAACTTCTGTTAACGTCTTGAGATTCACTTTGTTTGAACCAATCTGACAGCATCCAATCAAGTTGCGGGGGAGAACCACGAGGAACTAATGTAACATTACTGAGCGTCAGTTGAAGAAAATGACACCAAAAGATAATTTTGTTTGTGTACAAAAACTAAGCAGTGATCAACAAAAACAAACTGCAGTGTGCAAAATGTGTGAGTTGAAATTTCCAGACAGAGATGCTTCCAAACTTTTTTAAGAAATAAGAAAATTTAAAAAGCACTCATGATTATTATAAATCCAATATATTTATACTCTGCTGTTAAAATGGCATCGCATTTGGTGAATAGCACATTATAACTTGTTTAGGACTCGAAACTCTGAGTTTAGAACTTGGGACTTGAGTGCAAAGACTTGAGACTAAGTTGCTACTAGCAAACCTTGACTTGGTCCAATATTTTTTGTATGTGTTTGTGAGGTTTGACTTTTTTTTCCTGACTTGAGTGCAGAGACTTACTCGTGACTTGCTAAACAATGACTTGGTCCCACCTCTGGAGTAAAGTCTTAGGAGCAATCTCCTACTTTTCACACCACATCTAACTGTATACATGGTAGACTGTATACTGTATAAAACACTGCTTCTGTTTCATTTTCTACATTAACATAACATTGCTGATGAAGTGAAATACAGCTGCTGAAAATTGAAAATAGGTTCTGCAAGCAATGATCCTTTAATATCAGTTAATCTGCTAGAATTTTATCCACTGTTTTATGTCTGATAGAATATGAAAAGATTATGAAAACTGCCCATCGCAGCTTCCAAGAGTCCAGGATTACGTCTTTAAACTGTTTATTTTGTCTGACAAATGGACAAATACTCACACATATTCAGTTTACTATCACAAATGACAAAGACAAGCAGCAAATCTTCACATTTGAACAGTTGGAACCAGCAGATATTTGACATTGGCAGAAATAGCTGCTGAATAATGTCCTGTTGATCAGCTAGCTCTAACTGAAGAGGCACACTGTCAGGCACCCTTATTTTTGCTGTTTTTAACCCACAGACATCGACCAGTGTTCCCTTGCTGTACCATAGCTGCTCAGTCAGGAAGTTGTTTTATAGAACTGAGATAAAAAGACAGAAAGCAAAAGATTATCTGCCCACCACCATGTCCAAGAGTTAAATCTCTCAACCTCTGACCTTGTAAGCTTGAGAGAAAGACCCCCGATCTCTACCGGCTTCAGGATTCAGGACTCATCTGTTGATCCTGTGACCCTCACCTTCATACACAAATCTGACGTTCTCTTCATGTGCAGGAGTGAATCCCTCTGCCGGGCTGGCAGTCTTCTGTGTGGCTGCACCATGGTAGCGTTTCCCATTCAGACGATTGAACACGATCTTTGGGGGCGGAGAGCTGCGGAGATCAGACAGAGAGATATTAAAAAGGACATCATCTTGGGGATTGGGAATGGCCTGCATCACAACAACGCCACAAGAGTTCAGCTCAGCTGTGATGGAAAGAAATGATGCTGGCTGACGGATAATTTCACACTTCATTGTTGGCCGACAGGTGTTTAAATTTGCTTAGTGTTGACAGCATGTGGTGATGCTGCTAGCCTCAGGTTATGTATTTAGCTTTACAAGGAACTGAGCATGACGGTTCATTCATAGTAATTTGACAAAACAAACAATGCCGCTCTTCAGAGCTTCAAACCGGGGAGATCAGAGAAACTGATTTGCATACAGAAAGACATAACTGCGTTTTGGCTTTGTTTATTTCTGCTTACATGAACAAATGTTACTTTGTTTACCCCACAATGTCAATCAACATCTCCAACATGCAACTGTAAGATCACACGAGTTTGTAACAGTGGAGAGAAGGAAAGACTTGCAATCTTTCCTTAAAATGCAACACATGTTGCAGTTGCAATGCATTCTGGTCAACTGAGGCTTGCTGTTGAAACATAAATCACCAGCTGCATTTACTTCTCCTACAATAGGTTTCACCCTGTAAGGTTACAACAGCTGATCAGCACCACAGTGGACCGTCTCCGTGAGCTGCTCTCTCTGCCTGGTATACATATTTATCATATTACATAACATATTTTAGTGCATGGACAGAAGTGTTGCGGTAGCAGTTAACATCCAACACCAAGCTGTTATTCTTACACCATACACCAAAATGACTGTCGCTACATGGAGTAGCGTTAGCTGTGTGACGCTAACACTTAGCCGTGTCACTGGGTGTCTTTATGTCCCAGGCCCGCTGCAGTAGTCTCATGATTAACAGAGAGAGGTGGGCTGAGTGAACCAATACACTGCACACAGCTCTACAATGACATTAGATTGTACCTGTTTTAAATATAAAAATATGACATAATGTTGGGGTGAGAGGATGGGTTGCACAGAATTCACAGGGACAGGCTGAACATCTGGAAAGGACTGACTCGTGAGGATTAGCACCCTATGGCAGACAAGGCCAAATTTATAAGGGAAAGTAATTTAAGTGTTGAATAAAACACTTTAATGTCTTAAGCTTTTGTCATAATTCTTATTTCATAATTATTCATTATCATTCATGTTACAATTGTGTTACAATTAACAAATACTGTGGTGAAATATATCATTTCACTCCTTGTGTTTGACACTAAACCTGCATTGTTTGTGCTACAGAGATAAGAGCTAGTCAATTTAATGGCAGACACACATAACTAGTTTGTATCACATTCTGAACACACTGTCTTAAAAGAGTCCCAAGACACAGACACAAGTGTCAAAAATGTTACAACCATCCCCGGTCTCCCCTCATGGCAAGTTACGTATCTTTAAGCTACCTTGATATTTCCGAGCAGCACCTGAAGGGGGCACAAAACCAGCAGTTCTTGTTTATAAAGCCACGAGAGGGCACGTGGGACCCAAGGTGATGAACCGGCTGTACAGACCGTGGACACACGGTGACAGGTAGAAGATCAGTCGGTCATCTCGCGCAAGGTCACGCGGTAATAGACGGTATCGCCGGTGCGGGGCTGAGACACTGCTGGGGAAAGTTTGGTGTCCGATAATGGATGCAGAGTAGTTACCCAAGTTACCGATGTGTTACATGATCGCACTCACAGCGCACGTGCTGACAGAGTATTTTAGGGCCTAAGTCGCTACCAGAAGTCGTACATGATCTTACAATAAAGACACCAAGACAAAACTAAGAGGAGCTACTTACTTTGATGAGAGCCAAGACGTCGGCTTGAGCTTCAAGTCGCTGAATTTGCTCTCGATCTGTTGTGTGGGACCTTTAAGACAAAATCCGGGTTAAATTGTTTCCCTGCTCTACATGACATAGTGAGCTGTTTAACTGTTGCAATGACCCAAAACTTCTCCTTCATGCTACAGAGACAATCTGATGTGACATTGCATCATGCTTTAGATAACAGAACCATTCACCAACCTGTCCTCCGTTGTGTAACAAGTTTGCTGGGACCTCTGGTGATTGTGTACATCATGTGAACGCCAAGATATTCCTGTCTGCGTTTAAAGACCTGTCTGTCTGCTCAAATGATCAGGTGTACGCATTGATTGTCAGCTGTGTAACTTCCAGTCCTCTGTCCGCTCCTCCTGACGCAGCCACGATGGGGGACAGAATTTGGCAGCGTGCCGTGTTTTGCTCCCCAGGTCAGCTGCTCCACAGTCGGCCTGAAGCCTGCAACGCACCCGTCTGACTTGTTGCCCGCTGTGTATTAATACGCACCCCGCTGCACCTCCTGACCAGCAGGTGTTCAGTTGTAATGAACCGACGTCCGCTGCTCCTGCGAGAGGTTGCGTGTAGGTCATCCAAGGAGAAAGCGGCTCCACAAGCCGGGGATCAATCAGTCAGAGGGGGGACCTTATGGTTCCTGACGGCCGAGGACAGACTGGCCTCTCTGCTCCGCTGATGCTTCGCCACTGGCTGCTATACCTCCGCTCTGTGACACAATACAAGGACACTGCACACTTTGATATTTTCATCAGGACGGAAAGCTACAACGCTTGGCCAGCGTCAAGCCAGCCTGAATGACAAGTACGACTTCCGGTCGGAATTTTCAAAATAAAACCCCATTTACATAAACCCTCTGTTGAAGCCAATTGGACAATAGGATTTTTTTTATCACAAAAGCAACAACACATCTCCAAGCATCACTTATAACATGACTAGTTTATTTAAGAAGTCCAGTCTTTGGAGAACTTCTAATGTTCAGTATTAAAGATGCAGTGTGTAGGAATTAGTGACATCTAGTGGTGAGGTTGCAGAACTTGTGCTAATGCAGGATTTATACTTCTGCGTCAAATCAGCTGTACCTATGGTGTATGGCACTGCATCGACATAGAGCCTATGCTGTAGCCTGACATGCACCTCCCCAGAAATTTAACTCCACATTGTGGCGATGCAGACCTCCTGATAACAAGCTTTTATTTACTTGATTTTTCACAGATAAGAAACAATAAATTGAAAAAAATAAATAAATAAAGCGTCCACAAAAATAGCATTTTGAGTCTTGTGTATGATTTATCCTTCTGGGATTTATTCTTCAGGATTTATCCTGGCTTTATATGAGCAGAGGAAATCTCTGCTCATCTCAAGGCTAATTTTTACAATGTAAAATGCCATAGGCTTGCGCTAACAATGTTAGCGTGTTACATTTGTTTTGAAAACGTGTTTAGTATAAGACAGTTGTTTTGTCGGTGAACCTTGTGAGTTGAAATAGAGCCACATTTTGTGATGTTACCTTTTTTTAAATGTTGCTGTTGTCTCTGGCTTCATATGAGTAGAGAGAAGTCCCCTAGCCGCTAAGCTAATTTCTACAATGTAAAAAGCCATAGGCTTGTGCTAAAAACATTAGCATGTTGTATTTGTGGGGGAAATGTTTCCAGATAAAGACAAGTGTTTTGTCTGTGAATGTTGTGAGTTATAGTGAAGCTGATTTGTGTACTTTTGTTTGAAATTGTCTCTATTAAGCCATATTTACAGCACTTTACAGAAACCTCTGCTGCTCACTAGTGTTTTGGAGGTGTAACTGCAATGAGCAGAGGCACAACACTGAGGTCCCAAAACCACATGTTCTCCTCCCCCAAGGCTGTGCCTTGAGACTTTATTCTTAAGTATCACAGAGTCAGTGACAAGGGACAACCCTGACGGAAACAGACACCCACTGAAAACGTGTTTGACTCTGTGCTAAGTACACAGACATAGGATGACTATGTCTATGTCCTGACTCTGGTCATGGTTTCTGAAACATCATAATTTCACTGATGATCGCAAGAGAAATTCCTTTCATCTTCATGATATTCAGGCTGTGGTGGAAATCTCAGTTACAGATGTTCCAAATCCTGAGCAAACATAATCAACACTATCTGTATGGACAGTGGTGTAATGGTAGTTGATGAGGCGGGTGTACTCTAGTAGACGGGTGAGGTACAGAGGAGGAAGTGAGTATACTCCCCTTCATATTCCATTGTCTTTTTGGCTGATAGGTAGGTATACTGTAAATGGCCAGAGAAGGAGGGGAATTTACACCATTTCCAAAATCAAGCCATTTCTCTCCCTCAAAGACCTGGAGATAGTCACCCACACTCTTATGTCCTCCCATTTAGACTACTGTAACTCTCTGCACACCAGTATCAGTCAGTCCTCTCTGTCCTGCCTCCAGCTGGCTCAGAATGCTGCTGCCAAACTCCTCACAGGTACCCGGAGGAGAGACCATATCACACCTGTTTTAGCCTCTCTCCACTGGCTGCCTGTAGAGTTCAGAACTGACTTTACGGTTCTCTTGTTTGTGTACAAAGCCCTTAATGGTCTGGCCCTATCCATCGCAGACCTTCTAACCCCCTATTCTACGTCTTGGTCCCTCAGGTCAGCTGACCCGGGGCTCCTGGCTGTCCCAGCTCCAGACTTGAGCTCAGGGGTGATTGTACCTTTGCTGTGTCTCCCCCAAACTGTGGAACAGCATCCGCCTCCCAATCAGATTGGCCCCCTCCACTGACTCATTTAAGTCCAGATTTAAGACCTACTTTTGTTCACGAGCGTTTCAGTTGAGTTTGATGTGGTTTTCCCATGTGTTGTGCCTAAATGTGTGAGCCGTGTACCTGACAGTTATTTTGCCTCTCATGTTTTTTTTAGGCATTTTATTCCTTTTATACAGCACTTTGGTCAACATTAGTTGTTTTAAAAGGTGCTTTATGGATCAGTTTGAGTTGAGTTGAGAATTATGACACAATCTCCAATTTTTGTGGCTTTTACTTTGAAGTTAGAGTTTCTTTATTTCCGCTCTCGTTGTTTCTGTTTACCTCTGGTCGGACTGCTTGACGGAGCGGGGACACCCCCTTCCGTGACGTCACCGCACGCCCCTCGTGCAGGAGCTATCACCTTTCACCTATTAAACGAAACGCGCAGATAGATAAATGTGTAGACTGTAATGAAGAAAAGTGAAATTAAACTGGCCTCTTTCTGCAGTTTGTAGATTTTATCACATTGTAATTGTTCAGGTAATAATAATTTAGGCAGTCTGACCAAACTGCACCACTATACTCCTGAGACCTGGCAGCATGCATGGTGTCACACAGAGGCTTATAATATCTTTCCTCCCACTTCTCTTTTATCTCCAGTGGAGGCTATCCACTGTAGCATTCACACAAGGGTGTATGTAGCTTAACTGTATTACATCTATCTGAGATCTTATCACAGGTAATCTTTGGTCAGGTGAAATTCACCTGAGAGACTCCTCACAGTGTGAGCCGACAGACTGAGTTTAGCAACTGAAGATCAGCCGGGGCAAGAAGCAGCTCAGACAGGCTTATCCAGGTTGATATCTAACACTACATCTCCCACTCACCCCCCCATTCATCTGCACTATCTGGGTCAATCACCTGAGACTGCAGGCCAAAAGGCTAATCATCAACAGTCTATGCTACACAGGATTAGCACCAACAGCAGAGGCCAAACTGTGGTCACTTAGTATTGTAGAGAATACTGTCTTTATCAGCTGTCATGCTGATCCTGGACTTCTCAAGAAAATGTATTAGCACTTTATGGCTGGAAACATTGGCATCACAAGTATCATTCGAAATGACATGAGCGCCCCTGATGCAATTACTTCTATTTTAGCCCTACAAAGGGCCTAGCTGCAGAACGTCAGCTGAAACAACTGATCTTTAGGGACCTGTTTGGTGTCCCCAGGTCTCAGCTGTCCTGAGGTGCGAGAAAACATCCAACAACAAACAACAGTTTGACTTAAAAATGAGATGTCCAGCATTTTAAACATAATTCCACTCTGCATCACCGCAAAAATGACAATCATATGAAATCAAGTCATGATTTATTTATCCCATTCTTACAATGAACAGTGAAATAAGTTGTTCAAGTTTTCATTTAAAATTACTTTCAATTCATTATAAATTGTAGATTAAATAAAGCATACATCAGATGCAAATGAGGTTGATATCTGGGCCAAAGACCTTATAAACAGAAGCTTTCTTATGTACCTTTTTCAGAGCACTGTTGAGTCTGAAAACATTTCTAGTTGTGATTTAACTTGCCACACTCAGATATAACTAACATTAATAATGTCTGCATCCCATTTAGGTTCTCCAGTTCAAGGGCCCTCACTGGCATAACATACCTACACACCTAAATGTAACAGTTTAGTGTTAGTAGTTACACCTGTACGTCTGCTGTTCCGCATATGTCCTATTCCATACAATATATTTACTGTCTGTCATGTCTTGTGTATTACACCTCTCCATTTTTCCTCTGCACTGTCCTGCTGTGTTTCCACGTATAGTACTGCACTTCTAAATTGTTCTTGAGACTAATTCCAATTCCTCATCTCATAGCTAAACAGAAGCACGTATGCATGTGGTTACATGAGATGAATTTGACAGATACAGATACAGTGAGGTCAGAATTGTTTGTGTGAAAGAGTGTGCTACTGTGAACCCAAATGTTATTTCTCAAACAAAATATCACATCATTTCTTTAAAATAATGTTACTTTTAACATGTATAATATTGATATTATATTGTGTATGTATGTACAGTGTAATATAGACCTGCTGTAAACTGTACTTGGTGCAGACATCGAAAACAAAAATGAGAAATGAGAAAATTATGTTAGCAGCACATAGAAGCAAGTATAGCAATCTTATTCAATTCTACATTTCTGTTCCATATGCACATTTGTCAAAGATATGAAATGTCTATGTTTAAATAAGTATTAGTTTTTCATGAGAGCTAAAATCATTTCTTGATAGGTTACTTAAGATTAATGGCCTTTACAATAAACAGTAAAAACACAGTGTGTGACACGGTAAGTCTTCAAAGACAGTGAGACAAACCTGATTACCAAAAACCCCCCCAAAAAACTAGCAGTCCTGAGTTGGTGAATACAGTACATTTGATTAAGGTCTATTATAGACATTCATTGCTAAAACATCTATAAATGTGTGTCATGCTTCTTGTTATTAAGTATGGCACTCGGTCCCGGTCAGTTTGATTGCTTCAAAGTCTGAATCCAAATGCCCACCCTCTGGACTTGCGGACTGCTGAGCCCTCACGGACTTCAGTCGTACGTACTGTGACGAGTTCACCGTCATCATGTAAAGTCTGCAAGGGCAGAGACTGCAAGCCGCTGACAGACAGCCCTCAAGACTGCTTTGACTCACTGCCATGGAGACATTGGGTGACGATTACAATCAGTGTAAATGCGGTCATATTCTGTCTGCTCATCTGTCCCTGCATATAATCAGATATAAATCCCATGTGTAGGACTGCAGACATTCAAATACAGAGATGGTTGTAAATAAGGACTGGAATATGACTAAATAAAATGGGTAGGCCTGTTAGTTACATCAGAAAATCTTCTTGAGTTGTTTTTTGGCCACTTTTCTAGCCTTTGTATTTGGCATTTCACTGCACAACCCGTACAGTAAGCTTCGACAATGCATGTGATTACCCTGTACAGCCTGTAGTTCTATATATTTCTGTATTACGATGTTGTTGCA